TATTGGATTTCTTGATGATGACCCTTATTTCTGGAATAAAGTAGAATCTCAATGTTGTTTTAATTTTAACTTCTGTAATGGACAGAGATGTTGATCAGTTTTCATGTATTTATTGGTCATTTGGACTTTTTTTTTTTTTTTTTTTTTTCAGAAGCGGGGACTGAATTCAGGCCCTTGCGCTTCCCAGGCAAGCGCTTATTCTACTGAGCTATCTCCCCAGTCCCTGAACTTCTTCTGAGATGTGTTTATTCATTTCAGTTGCCCATTTTTGGACTGGGTCTTTTATTTGGGTAGGAATATTTTATTAGTTCTTTATAAAATATTGTATTAGTCTTTAAAACAAAACAAAAAACAGTAATTGAACACAGGGCCTTGCACTTGCTAGCAGATATGAGTCATTGTCCAAGATGTGGAAGTCAAAAATTTTCCCCCGTGCTGTAGGTTGTCTTCTTTCTGTTGGTTGTTTCCTTTGCTATGCAGAAGCTTTATAATTTGATATGATTCCATTGGTTGATTCTACACCTATTTTATTTTCCAGCAGATTAAATTTTAACATTTCTGTTTTAACATTGAGATCTTTGATCCATTTTGATTTAGTTTAGAACATAGTAAAAGATATGGACCTAGATTCAGTCTTCTGCCATGGAGAGCCAGTTTTCCCAGTGCTGTTTGTTAAAGAGGCTGTCTTTCTTTCAGTGTATGTTTTTTAATTCCACTTTTATTTCTCCTTAGTGGGCCATTTTTCTTTTGCTCTCTAATGTCTTAGAGCACATCTCTTTGTGTGGCATTTTAGCATTCTAGCTGTGCATCACAGTCTTCTAATGCCAGCATTGCACCAAGTTTCCCATCTGACTAGCTGCTTCTGTCTTGGTGTTTTGACTACAAAGAATAGGTCCTTGTTGTGTTTTTTATTTATTTGTTTGTTTTGTTTTGTTTTGTTTTTCCATTTGTATGTATTGACTCTCCAAGTTTAATTGCTCCTTCATCTCCAAGTCTGGCATATGTGGGGAGGGGGCTCATGACCATGCATAACTCAGTGCTCTGAGATCCCTAACCAGTTTGCCTTTTTTCCTCTGGCTTTCAAAGTCTTTATGTTTATTTTATAAATGTCCAGAGGTTTTAGTTGTGTTTTATATTGTTTTGTTGTTTTAAGTTTGTTTTTGATTAGTTGGGGTTTTTGTGGTATTCAGGATTGAACCCAGGACCTTGACAATAAGCTATACACCCAGCCCTTTTTTACTTTAAGACAAAGTCTAGCTAAGTTGCTAACTTGCTGAAGACAGGCCTAAACTTGTGATCCTCTTGCCTCAGCCTCCTGGAGTGCTAGGATTACAGGACTGCTCTCCCACTCCTGTCTCCCAGCCTTATTTTAAACCTAACATAGAATTAAGGTCATTTTTCTTTTTCTTTACTATTCTGAATATACTTTCAAAATATATGGTAAATGCTTAAAAGATTTTTTCAAAAATTTGTTATAGTAAAAGACATAGTGCCTTAAATCCCTCTTCACACACACACACACACACACACACACACACACACTTTACTACTTTCTAAAGCAATTTCTAGAAGTTTTTCATGATTATCTTTATGAGATGTGATGAAAAATACAGTGAATGGGGCCGGGGAGATGGCTTAGTGGAATAAGCGCTTCCCTGGCAAGCGCAAGGGCCTGAGTTCAATCCCCGGTTCCCCCCCCCACTAAAAAAAAACAAAAAAAAAAAACAAACACACAGTGAATGCTACTGCCAGCAGAAAGACAGGCCCACAAAAACATTACATGTGTCCTCCTCCATGTTATTCACCAGATCTGGCACCGTGTGACTTGGCTTTTCTGGAACGTCAAAATGACCAAGAGAGGTAAATGTTTCAAATTCATCAGGATATTGATGCAGCCACAACAGTACAACTAAAGACATTTATGGAAAAGAACCGCCAGAACTGCTTCTGCAGTTGTGTTTGAGCAAGGGGAGTATTTTTGAGGAAGGTTAATGACAATGTAATAAATTTTTTACTTTTTATTTTTTGTACTGGATATCAAACTTAGGACCTTGCACTTGCCAGGCAGACACCTGTGCCGCTGCTGAGCTATATCCTAGTCCTGCAAATTTTTTTTAAATTTAAATATTCACCATAGTCTTTGAGCATACCTCATATGACCGTGACCAGCCCACTAGATCTCACTTTGGAACTTATTCCAGAGGAAGTGAGCTTTTTATAGCTGGGCCATTACAGTGTTTCTGCCCACTCATCTGTCTTTCCTGTGTCTTTTATTCATTTCCTGGTTTTGGACAGACTTCTCAGCCACAAGATGGTGCCCCAGAATAGTTCACTAAGATTTTTCTGCTTTTCCTTGAGCCCCCTTCCCCCTTCACTTACTATTTTACTTTACTAGTCAGCGCTGTTTATATGAGCCACAGAATAGTTAAAAAACCCAGTTATATTTTCCTTTAAACTGTGCCTTGCTAGCTGCATGGAAACAGCCAATCAGTAGCAAAAAAGCATTTTTGTTTGACTTTTTTGTGTAGAATTTTTTTTTTTTTTTTTTTTTGGAAGGGTGTACAGGGTGTTCAGGGTCTCACTACTAGGTCAGACTCGAAGTGATCCACCTGTTTACAGCCTCCCAAGAACTGGGATTACAGGCACGCCACCATGCCCAGTCTCAATTGCTGTCTCAGCGCGCCCCACGGGCGGGGCTGGCACAGTAGGTCTAGGGATCAAACCTCCAGGTTCCTGCGCCTGCTTGCAGGCACTTTAATCCACTGAGGTATTTGGCTGGCCCTTGAAGAAATTTTAAAATTAATTGTCACCCTGATTAGTCCAGTCGCTGTTTTATATCTGGGCTCTATGAAAATAATCTATAATTTTAGCATAGCTTTATTTATTTATTTATTTTGTAGTACCAGGGATTGAACTCAGGACCCTGTACTTGCCAGGTTAGCATTTATTCCACTGAGCCATCTCCCCAGGCCCAACACAGCATTAAAAAAAAAAAAAAAAAAAGTGAAATCTGAGGCAGTGGCACAGAGACTTGGGAAGCTGAGACAGAAGGACGACTAGTTCACCAGCCTGAGCAGCTTGGTGAGACCCCTATTTTAAAAAAAAAAAAAGAAAAAGAAAAAGAAAAAAGTTTATTCTAAAACAATGCATTATTACTGCCTTTTGAGGTATCTGAATCCACAAGTCATACTTTCTTAGTATAAATGTTCTTGATTACTAGCCCAATTTTTAAACTAATAGAGTATAATAGTGTATAAAATGTATAAAATAAAAAGACTAACAAGTATTTATTAACATTCTTTTGGTAGTAAACTATGGATGGGTTCTTTCTTTCTTTCTTTCTTTCTTTCTTTCTTTCTTTCTTTCTTTCTTTTTTGGCGGAACCGGGGATTGAACTCAGGCCCTTGTGCTTGCCAGGGAAGCACTTATTCCACTGAGCCATCTCCCCAGCCCTTTCTTTTATCTTCTGCTCTATATTTTTCATGCTTTTTCTGTTGTTTGGCTTAGTTTGTTGTTGTTAGTGTTTAATGTATTTGGTACAGGATCTCACTATGTAGATCAGACTCATAGTAATCCTCCTGTTTTTCAGCCCCCCAAGTGCTGGGATTGCAGGTTTGCGCCACCACGCCCAGTCTCAGTTACCATCTCAGCACACCTTGGGGGTGGGGCCAGCACAGCATGGGTTTTGGTTTTTTGAGACACAGTCTTGCTATGTAGTCCAAGCTGGCCTTGAGCTCACTCTGTAGCCCAGGCTGGTCTCAAACTCATGGTGATCCTCCTACCTCAGCTTCCTGAGTGTTGGATTATTAACATGTGCTATCACACCCAGAATGTGTCCCATATCTTAACATGAGCTGGTCTTTGGTGGCTAAAAATGAGGTGTTGAGCATATTCTTAAGCTAATAAAATGTTTATTAGCCATTTTCAGGACTATATATGTATTTTTCTTCTAGCTTTATAATTGAGTAGGAAAAATATTAGGTATTCCCTTACTCAAAGCAGGACCATGTCTTTACATTTTGGGGTTATTTTTGTAATAACTGCCATGGGCTTTGTACATAGATGGGACTGAAAAAGACCTGTTGAGGGAACACAGAAGCCATTATTCCTAGATTTGAGGAAACAGCTATCATTTTACCAGTTGTAAAGCTTTGGGTCTGGAGTTGCCATACTGATCTTTGTTCTTCTCTGTGAGTTAATACTGGCTTACATTTATTGGGCCAGTTATGTCCAATCTGTCTTAATTTAGAACTAATAATTGGGAATAATAAAGCCAACTACTCCTGTCTAAAATAAGATTAAGGGCCGGCCAGATAGCTCAGTGGATTAAAGTGCCTGCTTAGGCAGATGTAGGGATCAGGGGTCTGCCTGCCGGCCTGCTGTGCTGGCAGGCCCCACCCCCAGGTGTGCTGAGACAGCAGTTGAGACGGCACCATGGCATGTGCCTGTAATCCCAGAGCTTGGAAGGCTGAAAAACAGGAAGGATCGCTACAAGTCCGATCTGTGTAGCAAGACCCTGTAACTAAATACTAAATAAATAAATAATAAGATTAGTAATACAGAAAAAAAATCCTTTTCAAGATTAGTAATACAACAGAGTGGACAAAAATCCAATCTAAATATATAGAATATATAAATATACAAAAGTATATTTACTTGGGTTGAAAGAGTGTTGGGAGTGCATAGAAATAAAATCCCACCCGCCTCGAGCCTCCTCACCTCCTTCCCAGTGGGTTCTAGGGAACTCAGTTTAAAATCACCTGAACTTATTTCTGTTTAGAAACCCAGCGCTGGATCTAGTGTGACCTGACCAGTAGACAGGTATTAAGCATTAATTTGTAATAAGGAAACTTTTTCTTCTAGCTTTCAGAGGTGGATACTTCCTAAGATTATCCTACTTACCAGATAAGAGAGCCTCACCATGGAAGTGACCAGTCAGAAGAATCACTCCACTGGAGATTTTTCCCTTCACCCTTTTGTGCTGGCTTTGTGTTTTTTAGCTCTTGGAAGTAGTGTCTCTACTGGCCAAGCAGAATCTACAACTTCTGGTGCTGGGTCGGAAGCACATGATAGGGCAAGGCTCCCGGTGGAGAAAGGATGAGATGACAAAGCTTCAGAAGCAAGCCCACTGTTTTTTTGCTGATAATATGTAAGTATTGGAGGTGACAGGTCAATTACACTAGGACCCAGTTGTCAGTGTATTATTTACTTTTGCCATTTAAAAAAATGCACGTAATATATTAGGTATCATGATGCACAGTGGTAATCCTAGCACCCTGGGAGGCTGAGGCAGGAAGATGGCAAGTTTGAGGATCATAAGTTTGAGGCTAGCCTGGGCAATTTATTAAGACCTGTCTTAAAATAAAAACTGAAAGTGGCAGAGAAGAGGGCTGGGGAGGTAGCCCAGTGCAGAGGCCCTGGGTTCAATCACCAGTGCCACCAAAACAAATGGAGTATATATGTGGACTCAATCTCATTTTAAAAAATAAAATAAAAGATTTGAGGCACCTTGCAAAAGTATAGTTTCTACCGCAGAATAAATTTAAATCAGATTAAAGGAGAAATAGGAAAAAGATAAATTAGATTGAGATTATTACACAGAATATGGACCATGGCGTTCTAAGTCAGTCATTTAGCAAATATTCAACAAATATGAGCATTTTCTCTGTTCTCAGTGAACAGCAGTGAAGAAGGTGAAGTGTCTGTGTCCTAGGGCTTGCAGGAGCAGGTGACAGATAAACAGCAGCGTTGTCCTGGGCAGTGCTCGTCATAGTCAGTGCCATGAGAAGGGGAAGTAGATGGGAAGGCTCAGGTCGGCAGGCAGACAGGCTTGGGGGAGGATGGAGGCTGGAAGGGAGCAGTTATGGGGAGGGGAAGCCTGCCGGGGAGAAGGGTGCTTGGTAGTTAGGAGGAAAGTGTGTGGGCCAGTGTGGGTGGAACAGCTGCAACAGGACAAGCAAGAATCTTTGAGGTCACAAAGGAGGCAGGAACCACATTCCAGAAGACTTCAGAGGCCCTGGGATGCAAGCAAGAGGCCTGAATACTTTTTTTTTTTTTTTTTTTTTTTTTGTCTTTTTGAGACAGAGTCTCACTATGCAGTTCAGGCTGGTCTGAAACTCACGTTGTAGTCCAGGCTGGCCTCAAACTCACAACAATCCTTCATCTGTATCCCCTTTTTTTTTAGTTTTGTCAGAGAAGGGTATTCCATTGTCATTTAATGTTGTAGGTATGTGAATTCAGCAAAATACTCCAAATGAAGGACCATTTTGTATCTGTATATTCAAAATAGGATAGATATACAGCTACTTTCTCATAATTCAGTGAATAGAAAGATTTGTTCTAATAGTGTTTGTGGACAGGATATCATGTCTGCATCTTGTACTATGAATAACCACTAAGAAGACAACAATGTGCAGTGTATTAATCATTAAAACTGTCCTACTAATCGGTTTTGAAACTGTCTCATTGCTATTTGTTTGTCAATAAAATTATTAAAAAAAAAATCACAACGCTCCTCGCACCTCAGCCTCCTGAGCGCTGGGATTACAGGTGTGTGCCACCACACCTGGCTGGATCCTTTCTTTTTGTTTGTTTGTTTTATTTTTTTCCATAATTTTATTGAGAAACAAATAATAATGAGACCATTTCAAACCAAATTGGTAGGACAGATTCAGTAATTAACACATTGTATACCCTCTTCCTAGTGGTTATTTGCTGTACAAGATGCAGACATGATATCCTATTTATAAACACTATTAGAACAAATCCCTCTATTCATTAAGAGAATGTAACTATATATCTATCCTAACCATTTTGAATACACAGATACAAAATGGACATTCATCTGTATCCCCTTTTTTGTTTAGTTCTGTTATTTGAATATTATAGGTGTGTTAACTCAGCAAAATATTCTAAAAGAGTCCAGTAGTCCATAATAGTATTGGGTCTTCCGCTTGACTGGCGATGTCAGAAATTGTTGACCTGAGTCCCCTACAGCTCAACATAACAGCATATTGGATCCATTCTTATTTAAAGAGAAAATCGGTAGTGAGCTGCAGCTTCCCTGGAAGCCAAAGATGCAGGAAATCCTAGTCAGTAACAAATGTGTGGGATCCAGAAGGTAAGAAGAAAGCAGCAGACAAGAAGTATGACTCTGCAGTAGCACTGGTGAGCCTTTAAGGTGCTTTTAAGTTTTCATCCTTCTGACGCTGACAGGCTTATTTCAGATTTGCATGGATAACGAGTAACCCCTAAGCCCAGATGTGCTGTCATTTCAAGTCTTGTCATTATTTTCTGAGCATTTATTCTCAAAAAGGTGAAACGGTGTTCAGTGAATGAAGCAGGATGCCACTTGCTCATTCTGGCCCCAAACCAAATCCTTCCTTTCATTAGCTCTGTCCCCCAAGAGTGACACACTGCATGCATCTACTTTAGGCAGCATGGTACATAGAGCACACGCAGTCCAGAACACAGCCCTGCCTCTTCTCTGGGGAAGGGTTTCCCTCTTCTGTTTTCCTCTCTTCCTATATAACCTTCAGGCAGGGTTTGGTGATACACACCTGTAATCCCAGCACCCTGGAGGCTGGGGTAGGAGGATCATAAATTCAAGCCCAGCCTGGGCAATTTAAAACTTGAGAGCCTGTCTCAAAACAGAAAGACTGTCTCAGTGTGAAGGCTCTGGGCTCAGTCTCCATTACTGGGAGAGTGTGTGTGTGTGTGTGTGTGTGTGTGTGTGTGTGTAATCTCAGAGTTATTGTGAAGGTTAAATGAAGTAATACTTAGTACCTATAAAACTCTTAGCACAACCAAGCACATTAAAAGCATGCATATTGGTTGCTCTCATCATTATTTTTCTTACATAAAAGAATTGGATAAATGTAGTGTTATCTTTCTAACAAACCTGTTAGAGATTGGTCTCCATACTCAGTTTGGGGCTTGGTTTACCTTATCAAGTTGTAAAGATTGATTTGCTGACCTGCTATGCCTCTGGATTTGCATATTTAAGTGTTTTAACAGTACCTATTTTCTACTAGTGGACCTAAGAAACCTCTTTAAATACTGAGTGTTGTGAATTCTCCTGTACTTTTCACCGAGCTTCAGCAATTACCATTATTTTATTTTTCTTGTTCCATATAATCAAATTTTCTGGAGTTTTTTTCCTCCATCTTTTTTTCCTGGAATTTTTTTTTAATCATTTATTTATTTATTTATTTGGCACAGGGTCTCACTATGCAGCTCAGACTTGTAGTGATCCTCCTGTCTCAGCCTCGCTAGCACTGGATTTATAGGAGTATGCCACTATGCCTGGCCTCAGTGGGCTGGGTTGGCAAGGCGCTGGCATGGCACGTGGTACCAGGGATTGAACCCAGGTCCTTGCACTACTATGCAGCCTTAGACTACTGAGCCATCCACCAGATCCTTTCCTGGAGATGTTTAAAGCTGTTTCTCATCTTTTAGCATTTCACTTGAAATATTTAAGTATAAGGTAAACTCCATGTGTACTGGGGATTGAGCCCAGGGCCTTCACACTGATCTGTGCCCCAGCTCCCCTCCCCTCCACTTCCCTTCTCCCTTCCCCTCCGTTTACTCTCTTGCCTTTTCCTTTCTTGCCTTTACCTTTTTGTTTTCCTTTTCTTGCCTCCTTCCTTTCTTTCTTTCTTTCTTTCTTTCTTTCTTTCTTTCTTTCTTTTTTCCTCTTAACTTTCTTTTTTCTTTCCTTCTTGTCACTAAGTTGCCCAGGCTGGGCTTGAACTTGAAATTTTCATGATTACAGGCATGTATCACTGTGCCCTGCTTAAGGGGAACTTTATTTATTTATTTATTTTATATTTAGTACATGGTCTACAGGGTCTCACTATACAGATCAGACTCATAGTGATCCTCCTGTTTTCAGCCTCCCAAGCACTGGGATTATAGGCACGCTCCACCATGCCCAGTCTATAAGATGAATTTTAAATGGTCCTGTTTGGATCATTTGAATCAGGACCAAAAGCCCCTTTGTCATAGGCTGCAGTGTGACTCTCCTTGGCCAAGGCAATTACTGCAATTTTTCAAGCACACACATGCAGTGGTGAGTCCTACGGCTCAGGGTCTGTTGTGTTCTTAGGGCAGGAGATATCACAGGGACTGGCCCTACTGCCTGTGCTCAAACTGTTTCAAAATACCAGTTTCAGCCTTTTACTTAGTGGTTTACAAAAAAAAAAAGTATCATCCTACCCTAATAGTATTCCAAGGTGAGTGAGGAAAAAGGGTAAAATATCCACACAGCCAGCTTTGGAGTGTGAAAAGAGAATGGCTAGGAGTCTATTCTCCTATCCGGGACGCTAGCATTCCCCTGTCCTCGGCTCCCACCTAGGTTCTACACAGTGTTGCCAGCAGCCCCAGACTTGTAGGTGGTTTATGATCAGCCCTGAGATCATATGAGTCAAGAGTTCACACTCACCTCCAACAAAAGAAGGAAAATAAGTAAAGAGCGCAGTGAACAGTTCTATCTTCCCCCTCTTGGGATGTGTGTGATTGTGTCCTTTCTCCTCCCTGGTTCAGCTCAGAGGATGACCCGTTCATTTTGTACGCCACGCTGAACTCCGGGAACCACTGCAAGTTTATCACAAATGACCTGATGCGAGACCACAAGGCCTGTCTGCCCGACGCCAAGACCCAACACCTGTTCTTTAAGTGGCAGCGGGGACATCAACTGGCAATTAGGAGTGTCTTTCCAGGCTCACATATAATCTTTCAGGTACAGATTCTGTCCTCTGTGTGATGTTAACCGAGGCAAGTAGACAGTAAGAATGTCGGATTGTTTAACAAAAATGTGATGCTGAACTTTTCTGTTTTCATTTCGTACTTGGCATTAGCCAATTCCTAGAAGCAATGTGTCTGTCACAGTAAAACTCTTCATGGGCAAACCCCAAAAATTGTGTGACATTTTGAAAGCTCTTGTGTAGCATCAGTTTGTGACTGCAATGCTGTCATCAGCTACCACTTCTGCTATGTATGTTTTCATTTTCCCATTTACAGTAGCTCACAACTCCTCACCCCTATCATCAAAAGCCATTAAGAAACTCATTTTCCTGTTAAATCCACTTCTATGGCAGTCTCAGTGGAGTGCTCGTTTGCTTCTAGTTTAGATGCCTATAGCACAGAAGTACCTCTTGTGTGAAGGCGAAGGAGAAAAGTGATTCCAGAGAGATCTATTGGCCTATGATAAAGTATGGTCTGGTGATCAAAACAGACACCTCCCCTGGAGGCAAGGCGATGCGGAGATGTTGGTCAAAGCATGTGCAGTTCAAGGGATTTATTATACAACATAGCAGCTATTGTTAATGTTTGTGTCTATTTTTCTCTTTCATTTCTTTCATCTTTTTTTTTTTTTCTCTTCAGGGCAGGGTCTCACTTTGCAGTTCAGGCTAGCCTTGAACTTATTACGTACAACCCAGGCTGGCCTCGAACTCAGTTATTCTGCCTCTGTTCTTGCAACAAAAAATGATAAATTGGTGAGGCTACTTATTTGTTAATTAGATCATTGTAGCCATTACACAATATATACATTTCAATAGGTCATATTAGACACAATAAATAAAAGTATTTTTCATTTGTCAATTTTAAAAATAAAAATATGCAAAATAAACTTACGGGAAATATGGTATCAAAATGATACCAAAGGCCAGCATTTAGGAGGCTGAAGCAAGAGGATCATTGCAAGTTCAAGACCAGCCTGGGCCACAAAAGTGAGTTCAAGGATAGCCTGAGCTGCACATTGAGATCCTGTCTCAAAAGGACAAAAAAAAAAAGATACCGAAGGGCTTCCATCAATAGATCAGGACTGTATCAGAGGAAATAATACAGGACAACTGACCTGGTTTCCTCAGGAGTAACAATAACAAAAAGAGGAAAATAGGGATAGAAGGTCTATATCAAAAGAGAATTAAGGGATATTTTAGGGCCAGCCAAATAGCTCAGTGGATTAAAGTGCCTGCAAGCAGGGGTCAGGGGTTCAATACCTGGGCCTGCAGGGCTGGCCCCGCCCCAGGGGCACACTGAGATGGCAATTGAGACCAGGCATGGTGGCACAGGCCTGTAATCCCAGCTCTTGGGAGGCTATAAACAGGCAGATCACTACGAGTCCGACCTAGTAGTGAGACCCTGAGTACCTTGTAGACCCTACCCTAGAAACACACACACACAAAAAAAGGTATTCTAACCTGTCACATGTAGTAACATTATTTTAATTCCCATTCTGACAAAGAAACTGTAAAATATACATACACAAACATTATAATTGAGGAAATGCAAACAGAAATGTGATAGTATTGAGGAATTCTTAATTTTTCTGTTTCACTGTTTTTGTTTATTTGGTGCTGGGGATTGAACCCAGGGTCTTGCACATGCTCTGCAATGATTCCTCAGCCAGGAGTTATAATTTCTCAAGGGTGATGTTGCACTTACATTTGCAGAATCTTTTATCATCTTGCATTACATACTGAAATAATGCAGAAGAAAAGAAGGGTGGGATTTGCCTAAAATAATCCCAGATGGGTCTGGCCAGACAGCTCTGCGGAGCTCTAAAACGCCTGCTTAGTGGCTGGGGTTTGAACCCCAGCATGCCCTACCGGCCCCACCTCCAGGCGTGCTGAGACGGAGATTGAGACTGGGCGTGGTAGCATGCACCTGTCATCCCAGTGCTTGGGAGGCTGAAAACAGGATGATCGCTATGAGTCTGATCTGTGTAGTGAGACCCTGTAGACCCTGTACTAAATACATAAAATTATAATAATAATAATAATAATAATAATCCCAGATGGAGAGTGGGACAAGGAAAGGGGTGAGGTTGGCTGTGAGTTGAGAATGGTTGAAAGTGGGTGATGGGCTCATGCACATTCATTATACTGTTTATTCTCTTATACTGTTATACTCTACTGTATTCATTATACCGGTATTCATTATACCATTCTGTACTGCATTTGAAATTTTTCTCTTTCACACATAAAACCAGTAAAGGCAACGAGACAGTTCTGTAACTTATAAATGTAGTGTTCTTACAGAGGGTCCTTAACCTTGAAAATGAACCTGCCCAGAAAGGAGGCTCAAATACCCATCTTATAATATCACAGAGTTAGCTGCTCTTGGAAATCTCGCATTGGCCAGGCATGGTGATGCACACCTGTAATCCCAGCACTCCGGAGGCTGAGGCAGGATGAGTGTCACAAGTGCAGGACCAGCCTGGGCTACATAGTGAATTCAAGGCCAGTCTGAATTATACAGTACATAGCAAGACCCTGTCTCAAAAAACAAACAAACAAAAGGCTGAGGGAATAGCCTAGTCCAAAACCCTGGGTTCAAACTATAATGCTGTTTTGTTGTAGTGGTGATTGGTTGGTTGTTTTTTGGTACTGGGAATTGAACTCAGGACCTTGCACTTGCCACATATCAGTACTGTTTTTGTTTTTGACTTTGTTTTGCTCTTCTTCTTCCTTCTTCCTTCTTCCTTCTTCCTTCTTCCTTCTTCCTTCTTCCTTCTTCCTTCTTCCTTCTTCTTTTTTGTGGAAGCAGGGATTGAACCCAGGCCCATGTGCTTGCCAGGGAAGTGCTTATTCCACTGAGCCATCTTTCCGGACCATTTTGTTTTGTTTTGTTTTGAGAGAAGAGAGCCACTATATAGTGTGGGCTGGCCCACCCCAGTGCTGTTAAAAAAAATTAAATGAAACTCCAGTGTTAAGTAAGGCTGGGAAAAGGAGGATAAGAAAGGTTGAAGGAAGGGAGAGGAATGGGGAAAAAAAATAAGATACATAATGTATAAGTACAAATTCCCTATGATAAATATAATCATTATGTAT